TGAGGTTAATGGATTGTGTACTAGATTCAGTGAATGTCTAAGGTTAGAAATCTCAGTTAACAAAGTCAAAATGTGTCTCGAGCTTGTGAAAAACCGTTAAGATGAAACTAGTAAGTGCATCTAATGATTTTCTAATAATATATTTCATAAAAAATCTCTTGTGCCAAGTCTTGTATTACTTGTACTTCTCGCATTACATAGAGCTCTATACATAACGATTAGTTTCTTTTACCCGAGCATCTATGTAAAAAGTTGGAAAACTTTTTCAAGTTACTTTATCTACCAATAATCCCCACAAGTACACATCCTATCATTTCGTCAGCATCTCAATCACTGAAGGATAAACATAATTTAGTTTCGATAAAGGACTCATCTCTTTTACGAAGATATTCTTTTGCTAGATGCACAGAAATAGAAGACTAAAATTCTGTTAAGTTTAAGACCACACATTATGTGCTATATCATTTGAAGTTTATAGTCAAAACAGTATTAACAGGATGTGTTGAATATCTTCAGTAAGGTCGATACGTATAATGATTTCCCAAAAAGGATAGAAACCAAAAAAACGAATTTCACAAATTATAGTAAATCACAATATTCTAAATATAGTACTTGAATGTCCCAATAAAACTACAAAAAATAGCATTCTAAACCATCAAACCCTTATAGCCAATCAGATTTCGTCACAAATTTCGTTGTAGCCTCTCTCTAATTGTCAAAAGATTGATGCTTTCAAAAGAGATTATATAATTGTAACTTCATTTCAAAAATCTTGTAAATGAAACAGAAAACCTGTAGAGTTACACCTCAAAGTGAGCATCCTTCCCTAAAGGTTCTTAGCTATTTTGAGTAAACCGACCAAACAATGCAAGAAAAAGCCATATTGCATCTCTCCCTCGGATCTCACACTGGTGTCTTCAGATAGTAAACCGGCTTCTTCTAGAATCATCCTGCACATAGACCATGATTCGATAAGCCAACATGAGAGGAAACAAAAAAACATGAACACAGATTAGGAGAGGTAATTACATGATTAGCAAAAGTTATCTTGTCGGTGACATCGAGTATTTCCTTCCACTTCTTCCCAATACCCATCTGGATACAATAACAAACAACAATCAGTAATTTCATCAACGAGCTTTGACAACGTTGTTGTAAACATAGTGTTACGTTCTAAACAGATGTCAATTAGCAAAGGTAGCTATATTTATAACGCCGATTAACTCTATAAAAGGCTAGTTCACTAGATACATCTTCGAACAACTTGCAACATATAACTTTAATATAAGAAACAGTTTCGTTCTTGAGTAATAATCCAAAGCAGTAGGAGTATCTCAATCAACAGAAGCTGGGTCAAACTCCCATGGACAGATATAGTGGCTAACCGTATGATGTTAAGCACAAACCCAGTAGTCAGTTCTATGTATCATTGAGTATTTCAAACCAAGTTCGGCTTTTTATCATTTACTAAGCAACCAAACACCACATTGAACTAAGCTAAACTATCTTATGAGCACACCTCATTGTACACAACACTAGCAAGCATAAAAAATCGAACAGGATAACAATCATGAATCAACAACATACAATGTACATAAGCGAGGAAGAAAGAACATCATACCAGAACCGCTTCGTTCGATTTAGTCCTAGTCCACAAGGAGAGTTTGTCTTGCTTAGGTCGAATACTAGCAACTACACCACATATCTCATCAGCCTCATCAAATTGCTCTCCAATCAAAGCCATCAACTGCCAGTTACAAGAGAGAACCATTAACCAGATGCAACTCAAACCCACATATATAATGTCTAAGACACAAAAAGGTATAGAAAGTGTTACAGTTTCAAGCCAAGCATCGTCTAGAGCTTTCTTCCTATTGGTAACAATCCATGTCCACTTTCCTCCATGAGCACACTCTGGATCTTCCCACTTTGGCTCAACACCAGCTTTAAACAAGTGAATTTCAGCATTCGCTGTCAATTTGCTAGGCTTGAATATAGTATCGTGCAAACTACAT